CTAGGGTTATAAACAAGGTAACTATGCTTATAAGTAATTCTAACCCCAATTAAGGTAGCTAAACCCTAAACCCTAAACCCTAAACCCTAAACCCCAAACTCTAAACCCTAAACCCTAAACCCTATAACCTTACTTACTAAGTCCCATGATCCTCCACGTACCGCGAGGTCCATCGGCCTGCGCCGTCTCACCCATCTCTCCCAGGGCAGAAGCCGCCGCGCAGCGGAGAAGGTGCCGAGGGTCCTGGAGATCTCGGACTCAAAAAGGCACAAGGTTTCGGGTAATCTTTGGGCTTAGGGCTTAGGGTTTAGGGTAGGGTTTTAGGGTTTAGGGTTTTAGGGTTTAGGGTTTTAGGGTTTTAGGGTTTGGGGTTTAGGGCTTAGTGCTACTTTTGAGGGACTTCTGGGGCCAGTAGAAATCGGACTTCTGGAAACGGTGCCTAGTCTTACTGCTCAGGATCTCCACTATCATAAACCCTAAACCCTAAACCACAAACCACAAACTTTCTGAAACTCCCGTACCTTTTAGCAGGCTTCAGGGGCATTAACCAAAACTCTCATAACCCTTCTTCATATCTATCCTTGTATCCGAGTCTTTCTTTATTCAGATGTACATACATACAAATATATGTATATGTATGCGTGTATATATATATATACATATATATAGAGAGAGAGATTTAGATTTATGTTTACATTTACAGATATCTATCTATTCACTTGCTTATGTAGTTGTTTATTTTGTTTTTGTGTTTGTATTTATATATATATATATATGCATACCTTATCTGTTTCCCTATCTATCTATTTATCTATGTATTTATCTATGAACTTCTTTAAGCAATTATGTATTCAGGGTCTGTGTAAACCCTAAACCCTAAACCCTAAACCCTAAACCCTAAACCCTAAACCAAGCTCCTGAAGGAGCGGCGCCACGGCCGCCGCCGAGGCCCCGCTCGGCGCGGCGCGGGCCAGGGCCAGCGCAGAGGCGGCGGCCACGATGGGAGAGGGATCCTAGAGCTCTCAGTCCTAAAGTAGGGTTTCGGGTTTCGGATTTAGGGTTTAGGGTTTAGGGTTGCTAAAGTAGGGTTTAGGGTTTAGGGTTGCTACAGTAGGGTTTTGGATTTAGGGTGTAGGGTCACTGAAGTAGGGTTTCGGACTTAGGGTTTAGGGTTTTAAAGAAGGGTTTCGGAGTTAGCATTTAAGGTTCAGGGTTACTAAAGTGCGGCTTCGGATTTAGGGTTTAGGGTTTAGGGTTACTAAAGTAGGGTTTCGGATTTAGGGTTTGGGGTTTAGGGTTTAGGGGGCTTAGGTGTAGGGCTTAGGGTTAATACTATGGGAACCTCAGGCGTTCCCTGCAAAGGGGATGACACAAAGGTTGCTTTAAAAGGGCTCCTTGAGGGTACTGTAAGGGTTTTTACGGGTTATAGGCACCTCATAAGGGTCTTTGTTAGGGTTTAGGGTTTAGGTTGTAGGGATGAGTCCATATATATGCGGGGTTATAGGGCAAGGGTTTCTTAATCAGGTTCCTACATTATACATTAAAAGAGAGAGCGAGAGAGAGAGAGAGAGATGTATATATATATACTAAAGAAAGCGACAGAGAGAGAGAGAGAGAGCGAGCAAGACAAGACAGCACAGGAGTGTGTCTGCATATCCCTACATCGTTACATCCATGCAAGGGCAGCTGGATGGATGCAGGGGGCGGAAAGAGGCAAGGAAAAAATGCGGAAAGGGTACATGGGACGAACAAATGGATGGATGGATGGACAGCTTGATCTATAAACAAGTCATAGACATGACAGGCACAAGTCGTTGCAGCCATTCCGGGGTGGGATGGGTGGGCTCCACATGCCCATACGCTCTTTTCCACTGGACAGCTTGAGGTCTTTGAATGTCTGCGTGCACGCGAAACCCAACCCCGCCGCAAAAACTCTGCTTGACCCCCAGCCTAAACCCACCGTGAACAACTCTGAGTTCGAAGCCCGTCGAAAACAGCACCCCATGTTGATGGTGAATGTACCTTCAATTGTATTTGAAGATCACAACGAGAAGGTTCAAGATATACTGCCGAACTAGGCATTATGCATTTCTGAAACCCCTGAAATCCCAAAGCCGTGGACCCTAAAACCCTGAGCCCAAAAAACCTTCGGTCCTAAACCCCGGAAGAGTCCTCCAGGCCCTTCTGCAACGCCGGAGCTGCCTCGCTGGCGCCCAGATTTCCCAGGGCCTGAAGTTGCTGCGAAATATATGTATACCATAAATATACATATAAGTATAGATATATATATATATGTACATGTGTATGTATGTATGTATGTATGTCTGTATGTATGTATGTATGTATGTATGTATGTATGTATGTATGTATATATGTATGTATGTATGTGTGTATGTATGTATGTAGATGTGTGTGTATGTAGATGTA